CTAAGTTGCTGTCGTTTACCATGCAAAGTATTAACTGACTCCTTCTGGTGCCATATTATATTCCATTGCAGCTTTCTGGTCGAATCAAAATTTCAAAAAATAATTTCAAACTTGTACCTAGATTAAACTTATTTTAAAATATATACTTTTCAGTTGCTTCAGCTTTAGCTATAGCATTATCTACTCGTTCTGATCCTGGCTTGGAAGGCATAATTAAAATAATTATCTTATTTAAATCTACTGACTGACTTACATACTACGCGCTTATATACAAAAACATTTAATTCGAGAATTATCTATAAAATCGGTAAATGCTTATTTTTCTCGCCCTCAGCTTGTGAACGTAAACAATGTCGCGGGCCTCTCAGCATTGATGCATCTTAAAACTGGGGCGAGTTCAGGAATGACACACTCAGTGTGAGTGTGACACCAGTGCGACACACTAGTCGTTCATAAATGCTAGAGGTACACCGAGTGCGCGCACTCTGTTCCGTTCAGAAAGTACTTCGTGCGCGGTCCAGGCGTCGCACCGGACACACCATAATTTTTTGGTGTCAACCATTCCTCCCATAATCCCATTGATCCCACCAAATAGAAACAAAACAAAAATAGAAATTAAAGTTTTTTCTTCAAATTAAAAAAATGAACAACAAAAAAAAGTAATCTTAATACATTTCGTGAAATTTTTTGAGGAGATTCTCGATTGGTCACACCAAGCGTTCAGAAATTCATACGAAAGTTGTCGCCTAAGAATTGTGATTTCAGGCACACCCATAAAATCGCACTCACACCCGGTGTGTTATTTCTGAACTCGCCCCTGCCTTCCCAAATCAGAACGTCCCGATCTTCCCAATATTTTATTCTCGTGATAATCCTTAACCCTGTCAAGATGCACCACCTCCTCCATTCAGATCCATAATAAATTCATCTATTAGTACTATATCTTCCAAGGTACCTATATCTTTGGAAATAATGTCCTCTAGGTCTATGTTCTTCGTCATATTCTTAATGAACCTCTTTATCCCATCTATTCACCAGGCTTAATATATCTATACATAATACCTTGCATTTTTTGGGACTTACACCTCATTTAAAATTGTTACCAGAAGTTTCTTGATCTTGGAACGAATTACTAGAAGCTCTCTGATTAGAGCTATTTTACCCATCAGATTATTTTTTTTAAAATAAAATACTCGAATCGAGTTAAATTTTATTTTAATAAAATAATACTTGATTAGGCTCGGAGGTATGACTTCTGGACTTTTTAATTGACGTGTAAGTCCCAAAAAATGCAAGGTAATATTATAAATCCACCTCAAACATACAGACATTTATTACAATACAGCTATGGGCCTTTTATTTGTTCTACGTTTAGACAATCGGAAACACTCTATGATAAATTTCAACACTCAGAAAATAGCTTAACATTCTTATGTAAATGTAGACAACATAACATTATACCTAAATCGTAACGCCTAAAAGCATCTTACACTAACAATAGAACACAAAAATTTTTAGATAGAGTTAACAAATCATTACTTAGAGGGAGAATACAATTTCATAGATATAACAAATTAAAACTAAAACAACAAATAGACATAACAAGAGATCAAATACAACAACATACATCTTTTGAAGATTCTCTTCATATCTGTAATTGTACATTAAATAGTATTAAATTTCAAAAACAAAAACAAATTCATGAGAATAAATTTACCATTCTCAATCGAGAAAAATCAAATTCTAATAATATTTTAGAATCCAAAAATAATAACTTTATTGAAAAAACGGTGATAAATTTATCAAATAGACAATTGATAGATGATGAAAAGAACTTTTTATCGAAAGGCTTAAATTTTTCCATAACACCTAAACACAAAATTTTACATTGTAGCATCACTTGAAGAACACTTACCAGAAACACAACAAGAAGAATTTAGAGAACTAAAATCACACTTGACAAAACATTTAAAATCAAACAAAACCTAACATCCAAAGAAAACCAAATACTTGAATCATTAAAACAAGACAACACAATTAAGATACTTCCAGCAGACAAAGGTAACGCAACTGTTATATAAGATTCACATACATACGAACGAAAAATATCATCACTAATTACTCAAAACGTCTGCACATAATTAAACAGAGATCCAACAGAACGCATTGAAAGACAAACATATAATTTTTTTATTAAAAACATAAAAACCAATTCAATGATATACAACGTAGCAAACCCACTCGACATCACCACATTTCTACGGTCTTCCAAAAATACACAAACCTAACAATCCACTAAGACCAAAAGTTAATAGCATAGACTCACCTACACAGCCATTATATAGATACCTTCTCTCTATACTCAATCCTCTAATAAACAATACTGAATCATACATAGGAAATTCACAACATTTTTTGAAAAAACTATCAGAAATTAACATAAATCCAAATCACATTTTAGTTAGTTTTGATGTTGTTAGCTTATTCACAAATGTTCCCATAGACAAAACACTCAACAAAGGTAAACATAAATTAGAACACGACAAAACACTAATTGAACGCACTAACCTTTCAGGGAATACTATTTTAGAATTACTAAAAGTTGGTGTAAAAACAACATAGGTACTTTCAATACAATGACGAATATTACCAACAAGTTTCTGGTCTGGCCATGGGTTCACCCTTATCATTTCTTTTTAATAATATTTTTGTGGAAGATTTCGAAATTATTAATATTGGAAATTATAACTTAAAACTCATTATTTGGTGGCATTACATAGACCACATATTTCCAATTTACACTCACAATGAAGACGACCTTATAATAACTTTCTTCAACACATAAATACAGAAGAACCAACTATACAATTTACAATAGAGAAAGAACTAAATAATCAATAATCTTTCTTAGACATACCTACTTATCACAAAAGACATAGACAAATTTGAAACTACAATATACAGAAAACCAACACAAACAAACATATATTTAAACTTCAATTCAAATCAACCAATCATGATTAAAATTGGTGTAGTTAAAAGCCTATACGACAGAGTCAAAACAATATGCATCAATCACAATACTTCCACTAAAGAAAAACAAAACACTAAAAATATACTAAAACAAGACGATTACCCTGAACAATTCATAAACAAATGCATTACAAACTTCGAAAATCCAAAACCTAAACAAAACGCAGACCCACCATTAACCAATCTTTACTTACCATATATACCAGGCATGTCAGACAAAATAAAACGAATCAGTAAAGACTATAATATACGCACCATTTTTAAAACACAAAATACAATAAGATCACAAATTACAAAAACAAAACCAAATAATGAGACTATTCGTACTAAACACGTAATTTATTAAGATAGCATTTGACCTAGACAAAAATAATATAAAGAGGTAGAGATAATGCCTGAGGGCTAAATTGCAACATACTAAAAGTCCTGGCCAATTCTCCTTCCGCAACCCCCTTTTTTCGCCCCCCAACCCCCCGCTTTTTAATATTTTGATGATTTTCTCGAAAACTATTCCACTTTCAGGAAAAATGTCAGAAAAGCTTTTTTGAAGCTGACAAAATTTCCCTTACAATGACGTATTGTGAGCCTATATAGTGCCACGTCGTACGCACCAGTGGCGTATCAAATGAAGGGTTACTTTTGAAAAATATACTGTTTGCTATTTATTCTCAGTTTTTTTGATCTAAGCATATTTTTTTTAGAAGTAACCTATTTTTCTCTGAAACGACCATTAAAAGGTAGTCTACTCGCGGATCTATAAGAAGTTTATCGCAATCACTTCAGCAAAAAAAAAATAGAAGTTTATCCGAGACTTCTCAGCTATCAATTTGCCAAATAACAGGTGCGCCTAACGCCTTGCGCGACTTTGAGGTAGGTAAGGTTAATTTCACGAAAGGATGTCGATATAGTCGATATGTCAACTTGGAAGAAAAGGTTTGTCGTAGATTGACCCATATAAATTCAATAGCGTTCAGATTTTGTATTGTACCTATTGAATCACTTCTGATTTGAAAACCGACGAATGGTTTTGACGTCATTAATTTGTTTCAGTCAATTTCTATTTGTTAAAAAAGGAAGGCAAAGGTACAAACCCTCGTGAAACAAACAGTATGTTTTTTATCTTCACTGCGCTTGTGCAACAGAATCCAATGGGAACCGAGTTTTTCACGTGTTTGCGTCATAATTACATTCAGGGTTGAGACTCTGTAACGCATAGAGACATTTTCTCTATTTCTATTGACGTCCCCTGTCTATACACACAGAAAAATAGCTGTGTGTTTTTTCTTATTTTGCTGTTTGGAAAAAATTGTTCCACTGTTCTACAGAATTGTTCGGTATCAAGTTGCAGTACTGTATAAAAATTCTCAAGCGTCTTGTTTGGGGAATGATGTGTACCTTTCATACAAAAATCAAATATATTTAACAGACAATAAGTATAGTTAATTTTTATTAAAAGACTGTGTGCAAATAGTCGACATTTATTGAAGTAGAGTCAAAGTTATTTTTGTAAAGAAATTTAGCAAACTAGGTATTTTTACCACATACGTTAGGGATATTCTCAGTATGCATTGTGTCCCTTTAAGTCACAATTGTGTAGAAGGAAATAGATGTCTAATTATATGGCGCTCAAAATTATGGATATTTTAAAAATGTATTGTGTACTTTTGATTCACAATTGTGAATAAAACATGACGCTTGCCTCGACCGCCAGAATTCTGCTGTTAGTATCAATGTTGCCACTCAACCAATTCTATGTAATGAAATATTATTGAACGCACAAAAAATCTGCAATAGAAAACAGGATATACGTTCTTGGTTCACGAATTCCTTCTTGAAGGCTGGTTCCTTTGGCAACCGTCTCGAACATTTGAGAAGATTCCTGAGAATTTCGTTTCAAATAAAAAACAGAATTTGTGATTTTTAGCATTAGGTTAGTGCTAAATTGGTGCAAATATTAATATTCAATAATGGATACGTTTGTTGAAACAAAATTGAAAGAGTGGGGCCTATCTGAGCAACTTAAACAACAATTGGAAGGTAGGTAACTGAGAAATATATTTTTTATTTAGAGGTAGAAGTAGGTATACCTATTTGTTTAGAACTGTAAAGAAAATACTATAAGGGCTAGTTTTGGTGTGGTGGCCCGTTTTTCATATACTTATTCAATTTACAATTTCTTTCTTTCAGCAAATCAAATTATTGATCGAACGGCTTTCGAAAGTCTAACCGAGGGCGATATAAAGGAACTGATTCCAGTTCTAGGATTCAGAAAAAAAATTATTTCAAAATACCAAGAAGAGCAATTAGGAGAGGTTGTGCATATAAAATAAATGTTTATATATCCTTCTTCAAGTGTTGTTTTTCAGGCAATTTCTCATCCTCTAATTTTCTCTGTTTCTGAAATACAATCAGATACAGCTAGTACTAGTAGTACTGTAACAGCAATAAGCTCTCCTGCCAGCTCTATAAGTTACATAACTGACACGGAAGCTGAGTGCATACAACCTGCTGGCCTAAGTAATGAAAATTATTAGAAAATAGCTGTGTACAGCCAACAAGAAACTTTGGGGCTATCACATGAAATTACACCTATACCCGATAATACTACCAATGTAAGTGTTTGAAATGATAATTATTATTAACAATGTAAAAATATTTATAAGTCGAGCCATATTATATTTTTTTTAGTATATCGACAGAACGGTTCATCACTCTAGCCAAAGAAATACATGATATATTTCCACCTGAAAATCCGGAGATATATTACCAACCTTAGATACAGCGAGCTAATAAGAAGCCAGTTTCGGCAAGTGGCAAACATTGGAGCGCATATGTGACCTCGAGAAGGAATTACAGAAAATTTGAAGTTATCAAGAGGCAGAAAAATCAAGACATAAATGAATCATTCATCATATTGGCAATTTTTATACAAAATTGTGGAACTGGCACGCACATATTTTGTTGATTTTCTCCTATTGATATGATAAAAACGAAAATATATAAATTTATAATCCTATACTCCTTGTGTAGTTAAAATCCACAGCATTATATTAAAAAGATACAGCCATTATTTTTAATAAACCTACAAATTTGTGTTAAACATTTACACTCTATTTGTATTTATCACACAAATTGTGTTATCGTTAACCATAATTTGTATAACATTTCTACAATGGAAATACAAAAGAATAAAATACATTGTTTTACTAAACATACTAATTATGTGCTTTTTGAGTGAGTGTTTGTTATAGAAATACTAACAAAAGTGTGTTCACTTACTAAACAATTGTATGTGATAACTTCAAAATCTTGATAAAATACATCAAGCATCTAGAAATAATCAAGAATTATGCAAAATCCCTACATGCCTTCTAGATAAAAAAACTATTATACATAATTGGATGTAGAATTGCTACACAAATTGATTCTGTGCCCATTTCAGAATCAAATTGTATAGAAAATTTCTACATTTTTTAAAAATAAATCTACAGATTTTTAAGTGTGTACATTCATTTCGGAAAGAGAGAAGAAAACAGGAAGTACCATAGCGATAAGGATAACGATCTCTATCCGTAACAGAGTCGGAGTCCAGAGGCGAGTTCCGAAGAAATCGTTCCTTCTTTCTTTGTAACGTTATAATCCGACAAAAAACGAACTAATACTTTACTTTATCACTTCTGAACTCACCGCAGGTTTGTTCAAAGTTATGTACTTGACATATTCCTTTGCACTTTCATTGTGCGATATTGCCGGATGGATCATTTATCAAAATTAAAGTGCAAGCGATGTTACAAGACACTTTAAAGCACTTCTCATGTCTGATTTAAGACGTTGTGGAACACTTGACACTATATTACTTTTTTAATGGGTGTAATGTTCGATTTTTATTGTCTACATTCATTCTACAACAATACAATCTGGCTACACTGCAACCCACTGTTGCGCGCGCATATCGTGTTTTACTACTTCCTAACTGGCATCCATATAAAGTTTTCCCTGTTTATGCGAGACAGGTCAATTTTTTGAAAACGTGAAATCAAAAATAAAAAGTATTAAAACCGGAAAACAATCATACAAGTATCTACTATTTTGATAAAAAAAAAATTATGTCTGAAGCTGTCGAGAACTGATCAGTGGGGTGAAAATTAAACACCAATATTTTTGGTTCTAGGGGGTTGTTCTATATATGAATAGATTTGCAATTTTGTCACCTACATAAAAATTGTTAACGATATTTTTTGTCAAGCTTATAGTTTTCAATTAATCTCGGGGCAAACTTCCTTTTGATACGCCACTGATGCGTACCACGTGATAATATATAGGCTCGCAGTAAGTGGTTTCTACGGGAGTTTTGTTACCTTCAAATATGCTCTCTTGACATTTTTCCCTAAAGCGGATAGTTTTCGAGAAAATCACCAAAACATTAAAAGGGGGGATTTGGGGGGCAAAAAAAGTGGGGTTGCGGAAGGAGGATTCTCCAGGACTTTTAGTATATTAATATTTAGCCCTAAATTATAATATATACCAAAAATAAGCTTCATGTTATTTTTGTCTAGCTTCACCCAAAATTTGAACTATCTTGACTCGGGTATACCTACACAAAAAACGGGGACTTTAACAAATCAAACATATGCCGACATGCTTTTGACAATAACCATGAAATTAACTCGAATGCTTCTAGCATTCTGGCAAAGGAACCTTTTTCAAAAACACGTAAAATTAGAGAGAGCGCATTAAATTTATTAAATAAAGACGAGAATGTGTTGCGTCATGCTCAACATCATTTAGTAAGACTTGGCTTCCTTTGCTTGAATCAGAGGTAAACCAAGGTAAATTAAAAATTAATTAAAAATGTCACCTTCACAAAATAGGTAGGTACCGCACCATTTCCTAAATATGATTTCTGACACGGCATTAGTCAAATTTGTAATTTTTGCTTAACAAAAATAACTCAAATTCGAGTATTCAAACAAGTTGACGAAAAATACGAACAATTTTCTGCCTTTTCTATTTTTTAGGTGTTCCATGCCCCAAGATTTGACAACGGTAGCAGGTTTGGTACCGAAACGTCAGCAAAAAGTCCAGAAGTCATACCTTCGAGCCTAATCAAGTAATATATTATTAAAATAAAATATAACTTGATTCGAGTATTTTATTTTATAAAAATAATCTGATAGGTGAAATAGCTCTAATCGGAAAGGTTGTAGTAATTCGTTTCAAGATCAAGAAACTGCTGGTAACAATTTTAATTGCGGTTTAAGTCCATATATACCCTCTACATTACGCGTTTTTTTTTCCAATTGACTGAAATGGAAACTAGAAGAATGGTCGCTTGTTTCCTGGTAACTGCCATGCTGCTAACCGGTTTGTCTGCGCCTGCGCGGACGTTCGTAGCACTGTAGCGCTCCTCGTATGAATCTGTAGACGGTCTGTTTGAAGCTCAGTATTCCAGATCGTCAGTTCATTGTGGGAGGAAATCCTTTATTGATTTCGACAAGAAAGAAGAAGACATCAAGTGCGATAGCGATAGGGATAACGCTCTCTATCCGTTACATAGTTCCAGCCCTGGTGGCTTGCGTTTTAAAATTCACTGCCGTGGCCATTTGCATAAAGGGAGTGATTTATGTACCTTAAATTGTTGGTATTGTTTCGAAGAATATGTGTGTCCAGACAGAACTCTCAACTCCAAGCCATAGGCGTGTTACACCTTTTTTTTTAAATTTTAATTAGGTTATCAAATCAATTGGTTCTATCCAGGAACTGTTTCATGTTGTTCAATTCTCAGGCGGCGCTTGCATTGAACTGGGCAAGGTCGGCTGGGTCAGCCATTTTCGTGATTATGGAGTAACAACCAATCGTATTTCTTCCAGAAGATCTTCATTGTTGTGTCTTTGATTCCGGCCTCTCTTGGTTTATGAATTTCTCGTTTTGACATAGCTCTAATCTATGTGGTGGATATATTATAAGCCGCTTTGACTTCTAGGACATTGATTAGAGCTTCGCTGCTACTTCATAATTTGGTCATGAGCCGCATTCCTGAACAATATCTCTCATTCTATTGATGAAATCATCAGCTTTATTTTGTCTTATTCTTAGCTGTAAATGGGTCTAGCCGCCATCGATTTTGATCATGTCATTGTAGCTGCAACCATCAGCCATTGAAAAAATCTCGAACTGAAGTCTGTACATCGCTCACTTGTCTGACAGTGGACAGTGGTATGGTGCTGGTTCAACATTGAGACCTGTTGCAGCGTTTCCTGATCTCAAGTCAGATTAAAACTCCTTATGCTGTTCTGAACACTATCTATTTCTTTGCGAAAAGTTCCTTGCTTTTCCAGGATTTTCTCGAGTCTCTATCTGCCTTCGGGCTTCCGCTGCTTTTTTTAATAATACGTTCTTCTTGTTGTGAAAGTGCTAAAGCCAAGCCTGTTTTTCTTGCTTTCATTTCTCCGGGCTTTCTGTTCATGTTTTTCTTTTGCTATCCGATCTTTTTGTTGTTCTAGAAGTGCTGCAAGTGGGTCCTGTTCTCGTTTTTCTTTTAGCCTCTGCGCTTTTTCTCTTGTCTCTCTTTTTGTCTTCGAGCTTCGTCTGCTTGTTTCTGCTTTCCATATTTTTGATGCAGTCTACCAGCATTTGGTTAACTTACTTACTCTATTTCGGCTGTTTGCGTCGTGTATTCACTATGGTAGATATACTTTGGTATGTTCTGTAACTTTCTTGTAACTTGATTTTAATTATAAAGTTCTGTGACAAATTTTCAAATAGAACACGATAAAATGTATGAAAACAAATCATTCTGTGGACATATTTTCCGATATCAAATCCAGTGATAATAGATGAGTCACTATTTTAATTCAACAAAAGTTTTTAGCTCAAATCATTCTACTAATTATCTGGCTATTTATACTCCTATAATCGTCTCAAAGTAATTCACTAGTTATTTCGCCCATTATTAAATTATTTAAGCAAACCAATTGTCCCGTTAATTAGCCCACTTCTGACACCAACTGCAGGTCCAATAGAAACTCACTTTACTAACAATAACAATAATTTTTATTGAATTAGGTATTTGACTTGACTTACTACAAAATTATTTACTTATCACTTATCGCTTAGTTAACTTTATACAACTTTTATATAAATCTGCGGACTGACTTACATACCTACTGTGCTTATAGGTTTACATAAACATATAATTCAGGCTATTCTGTCATTCGTGAATGCTTGTTTACTCAAATAACATAATAGAATTCCAGAATAGATACTCGCGCTTGGGTCATAAAACGCGTAAACAATCTCGTGGGCCTCTCAGTACCAATGCATTTTCGTATATTTACATTGACATTTCGGGTTTCCATTGTATTTAGGAGAAAAAATGAGGCAAAAAGAGAAAAAAAACCCACAAAATGGATTTTTGCAAATTTTAATCCCGACTTTATTTTAATTATTTGACTCTAACAGTAACTCGTTGAGAACGAACATTAAAAACTAATCGGTTCTGCAAAACAATCAAAACCCTAACGGAAGGCGAATACTTCACTAGGTATTATTTTGACAAAAACTAATTAAATCAGATAGACTTTAAGTCGAATGGTTTGACACAACTCGATCATTTTGCCGTAAAATAAAACATTTTTTATTTTATTCAAATAAGAAAGAGTAGGTAGATTGCCCTTTCTGAGGAAACCTATCAATCCAATATTACGAGCGAGAACCTAGTCGTATAAAACATTTATGTATCTCAAAATATATACTTATATATATTTTTTTTTGGGTATCAGGTAACGGCAACAATGCCGTCATTATGTTGTGTGTATTGAGATTAGCGGCAAAAGCCAGCTGATTGGAGAACGGGCCCACCAAGCGTGGCACTTAGAAGGCTACGGTGAAGGTGTTCCTCGTCATATAGTTCACCGTTCTTGTGGCGAATGACTGAAATCGCGAGTGCCTACTTTCATTCTCAGTTACCACTATGACTTCGTTCGAGCAAATCAGAGAAGAACTTCAAAAATATCAGCAGGACCATATTCTTAAGTTCTACGGGCAACTTGACGAAAATGAGCGCGAAATTTTTTTAAAACAATTGAAAACTCTTCGGTTTAAAGAAGTGAACGAGCTTTTTAAAAAAGCGGAAGAATCACTTACCGATGACGTTGAAAAAGTCGACGCGCGTATGCAGCCTATACCCGCCGAACAATTCGGGTCCGAGAAGAATGCGGACAAAGAAGAATTATTAACTTATCGAAGTGTCGGTTTAGAAGAAATTTCAAAAGGACATGTTGCGGTTCTTCTTCTCGCTGGCGGCCAAGGGACCAGACTTGGAGTTACTTATCCAAAGGGAATGTATTCCGTTGGGTTACCATCAGGAAAAACACTGTTTCAAATACAAGCAGAGAGAATCAGAAAAGTTATTCATTTAGCAAAGAAAGAAACTGGCAAGACTGGTAATATTGTTTGGTATATTATGACCAGTGGCCCAACAAATGCTACAACAACAAAATATTTGGAAGCCAACAATTATTTTGGACTAAATCAAGATGATGTTAAATTATTCCAGCAAGGATTATTACCGTGTTTTGATTTTAATGGAAAAATTCTTTTAGAAGAAAAAAATTCGGTCGCTCTAGCTCCAGATGGTAATGGTGGAATCTACAGGGCTTTAAGTGACAACCAGATTCTAGATGATATGGAACGAAGAGGAATCAAATATGTGCACGTTCATAGTGTTGACAATATTTTGGTAAAAGTGGCAGACCCTGTTTTTATCGGCTACTGTGTCAAAAAGCAAGCTGAATGTGGCGCTAAAGTAGTCAGCAAAGACGGCCCAAACGAAGCCGTAGGTGTTGTGTGCAAAGTAGATGGAAAATATCAAGTTGTTGAATATAGTGAAATTACGGAAAAAACAGCTAACCTAAAGGATTCTTCTGGTAATTTAGTTTTTCGGGCTGGTAACATTTGCAATCATTTTTTCAGCACACAATTTTTGCAAAGAATTGCTAAACAGTATGAATCTGAACTTAAACTGCATGTAGCTAAAAAAAAAATTCCGTACATTAATGAAGACGGAGAAAAAATTAAGCCCTCTTCTCCAAACGGAATTAAAATAGAAAAATTTGTTTTTGACGTATTTCAATTTACTGACAGATTTGTGACGTGGGAAGTACCTCGTATATCTGAATTTAGTGCGCTTAAAAATGCTGATAGCGTTATGAAAGACTGTCCTTCTACGGCTAGAAGAGATTTATTACGATTGCATAAAAGTTATATTGAAAATGCAGGAGGAACTGTTAAAGATCAAGTAGATGTAGAAATCTCTCCTTTATTATCTTATGGCGGTGAAAATATCGAGAAAAAAGTCAAATCAAAGAAATTCGAAAGCACGACTATTTTATTATCTGAAGAAGAAGCTCAACAACTGTGTTATGTGAATAGCCTTTCAAATGGCAAAGCGTAGAAAATTAAATACTTTTTGATAGCTCCCAAGGCACCAAAACTATTATTAAATCTTGAAATAAGTTACCTAATATTGGCTATTGGTAATTTTACTCCGGGTATGTGCAATCGGAAATGTTTGAAGTAGGATTAAATGTGAGAATTATTTTAGTACCTATTGATATTCTGTAAATTATTTCTTAATGAAAAAATACGTATATTTGTATATTATAATTTATTTTTGATATGGTTATTAGATATATTATCGAACCTATGTATAGATGTTTAAAAACTTATATGGTGGCTCAGTAGTGCGAGGAGATATTCTCATTGTCTTCGGAAAAGCAGGACATGATAAAAGTTAATTCAATCAGCACCTACATTTCAGATCATAATTTTGAACCCTCTACACTTATATTTTCAACGTTTATCGGCTTTTGCTCTATTGACTTTAGCGGAATATTCATATCGTAACAATGGGCCATCGTCCTGTATTTCTTGTTACCTATTTTTATCCTAATGTATTTTTTTAATTGCTGTTAAAAGGTGAATGGTATTAATAAAATAGTATGCAAAATATATTTGTTGTTTTTTTTTAGTGTTATTGAAAAATAATAGGTAGGTAAATTATATTTTCCATTCAGAAACTTGTATTTCAAAAAACATTTGTTTTATAATTAAAATACAGAGGTGACAAAAGAAAATTTGTGGATCAAATTGCTGCAGCAAAAGCTTGAAAACAATTGAACGTCCCTTATGGGACTGCGCTGGCTTAAATAAGAATTTAATGCCGATATAGCAATTTGATGTTTACTTCACAACATTGTATTTGAAAAGTCATAGAAGAAAGGGGTAAGCTCATTAAAGCATATAAAAAATGAATATTTGATTATAACTTAGCGTGGCAATTGGTTAATATAACTCCTCCATCCTCAAGATGTTGCAAATGTGGATTGTTCTTTATGCAAATCAGACAATTCAATTTCCACATTTGCACAAGCTTTTTCTTTTTTAAACTTCCTAAAACAGTAAAACAATAAAATCTTGATTAAAATAGCAAGACTTAAAACTATGATTAAATATGTATTCAAATAAGAGTTTTCAAAGGACAATTCTTTGAGATTGTGAACTCCTATTTGTTTCGTCGTCTTGAAGGCTTCTTCTAGGTCTTTATGGTTGATTTCTTGAAGTTCCAATGTTGTTTCGTTCTCTGAAAGTTCCAGGATGTCTATTTTTGGAATCTTCAGTCCAAAATTGAAGTTCTCGCTGGTTTTTGAAAATGTATGATTTTGTATTTTCACAAAGCATTTTTCAAAAGAAACTAGCGTTGGATTGGTTATAATTTCCATATGGTTTGTCTTGTCACATTGAATAACTATCGTCAGTCTTTTCTTAAGGATGACTAATAGTTGTCTATTCGGGAGATGTCTCACTGTTGGTTTCGCATATTTCACTTTAATGAAAGGACATTGTTGTGGTAGGTCAGTAATCAGGTCATAGACACATGATTCTTCTTGTTTCAGCTCTTCTTGGTTACAAAGGTACACATTGTCGACTTTTGGGTATTCTCATAAAGTATTGTAGTAAATTTCTGTAGTAAGTAATAGGTAAGGGTACGTATTCCTAATGGTAAGTTCTTGGATAGATTTTATACACTATAAAGGGCTTGGGATCAATCATTGGTGTGTGTATAACAAATATAATTATCTCATTTTGGATTTTTACTAGAGTTTTCATTGTCTCGTAATATTTGATTTTATTATCAAAAGGTATTTGTTGACTTTTGCGGGTATGTTTATTAATATTTGGTTTAATTTATTATGCTGTAAAATAGTACAATGCATTATTCCCAATTGTGCAAAATTTATTGGTAATTGCACATGATCAATTAGATTCCTTATTTTATTTCTTTGGATATTGATATTATTCCATATTAGATTAAAGGTTAACATTGAGTGGAAATTTTGGTTTTCCAAGGAAATATTTTGTAATTTTCCTGTGATAACCTTTTGGTTAGATTCAATAGTTAGAAATTGATCGTGAAATGTTTTTGTAACTTGTTTCAATACTTGAGCTTGTGTTTTTAGATCTTCATTGAGAGTCTTTTGACTATCATTGAGCCTCTGGATATAAGAATCATATCTTGCGCCGTCTTCAGCATCTAGGGTTCGGTAGAGCCATTTTTGTGCTATGTCCATGACATTTAATAGACCTCTTTTATTACTTTTTCGGTCTTGATAGGTTTTAATGACCTGTTTCATGATCCTAATTTGAGAATAACTGGTTTCAATATTTGTTTGAAACAGTGTAACAAATTGGTTTGACCATATTGTTTTATTTAGTGAGTTATGTCACCAACCAAGACGATATAACGCTGACATAGCATCTCTAATTTCTTTATATAAATTGCTTCCATCGAACTTTAGTTCACTTTTTACTTAGCTATATGATTGTCAATTAGTTTTAATTTTTAGAATAAAGTTTTTTAAAAACGGTGTCGGTCGTCTCGATAAGTTAACTGGCGCAGTCGGAATAGGATTTTCCAGGAATCGATAGTGCATCGCGTCGTATCGATTTGTTCAGATCCGTGATTAACTGGAAATCGAACTTTGGTGATTTGTGTTTGGCAGAGCGGATTTCTAAAAATCGAACACCCCAGTCTATCGAAGACCTGCAGAAGAACACGATCATCGGAAACTAGAACCAAATCGTCTAGTTTCGCAAGAACAAGGAATTTTGGGAGGACCAAATCGCTGATCGAAAACCTTGTTCTCATAGAAGAGATGACCGTAATCTCCGCTTACCTAGTACTGTAAGTTGCAATTATAATAATTTATGTCCGATTTAGATCAAATTATTAATTCATTAGAAAATTTAGTCATAAATACACCTTCAGCCAACTCAGCTCAAATTTCTAATCAAAATTCATTCAATTCTCCTTTGGAAACTATTTCTGAAGAACAAAATTTACGTTTAGACAATCTATTTAACGAAAATACTGATTCTTCCAATATGAGCTTCAAAGCTGAATATTTGAACTGTGTACCTGATTTTGATGGTAATCCGAATGATTTATCGAGATACCTAAATATTTGTCAAACCCTTATAGCTAAATTTTATAATACAACTAACATCGATTGTTTTGAAAATATTTATCTACTTAACTCATTGATTAGTAAACTGAAAGGAAATGCAAAACTCGTTATTAACATTAATTCCTCTACTACGTGGGAGGATATCAAAACCACGCTTTGCCGTCACTTTGCGGACCAAAGAGACGAATCGTGTCTGAATAGAGACCTGGTTATGCTTCGCCAACAACCAAACGAAAAAGCAACACAATTTTACGACCGAGTCTTGCACATCCTTAATTTACTATGCTCTTATGTAGACAATCACGAGACTACCATTCAAGCGAAAAATTTGAAAAGAGACTTGTACAATGATCTTGCTCTAACAACGTTTTTATCTGGTTTGAAAGAACCACTAGGTACCACAATTAGGTGTATGAAACCAGAAAACCTATCGAAAGCATTGCAATTTGTGACACAGGAAAGTAACACACATTATTTCCAAAATTCTACTAAAGTTACTCAAAATCAACCAGTGTAGATTCTAAGATCCTTCCAAAACAGACCAAATTTTCAACCTTCAAAAATTTTCGCTCCCAACCAATCATTCAGACCAATGATGCAGCAATTTCCTTCTCAACCGATAAACATTAGGCCAGTTTATAGGACCCCTCAAAAATTCTTCACCAACTCGCAAGTATTTGGAAGACCCCAGAATGTTTTTAGACCAAATCAATCACGTTATACTACTCCTGGCACTCCTATGTCGGTATCGACTAGAAACACAGGAAGACCAAACTTCAACAACAATTCTAATAATGCTTCTCAAAGTTTTAACCAACAACAACCACAAAAAATGGATGTTGAAGAGTTATTCAATACTGAGACCGATCAATCAAGTAACGATGATCAATACTGTTTTGACCAGTATAGGCAGTATGACCAAAACCAATACTACAATCAATATTATTATACATACGACCAACAATACCCAATCTTTTATGAACAAGCTTATTACCAAATCAATGATCCCCAAAATGAACTCCTGAATAATGAACAAACCGCAGATTCAACCTCTATATCTGAAGAAACAAACGAGGCCGTAAATTTTACCGAAACACCTCAAATAGAGGACAAAAGATAAATCCAACAGCCATATCATTCAATATGGCTTGTTCAAGTGAATTGCCCTATGTTATTTTTCCTGAACATAATATAAAAATATTGATTGATTCTGGATCAACTAAATCGTTCTTAGATCCAAACTTCGTAAATAAATTTTACCCAAATTTTATCTCTATTGACCCATTTATTGTTTCAACCGTCTACCAAAAATCGGCCCACCAATTCAGTGCATGTATTCCCTCGTCAAAATTATTTAATCTGCCATATCAGCAAAATTTAAAATTCTACTTATTTAAATTCCACGACTATTTCGACGGCCTTCTAGGAATCGACAACCTCAAACTATTACAAGCGAATCTTGACTTTGGAACCGGATTTCTTGTAACACCTCATGTCAGCATTAAATTACGATTCCACAAAACCCAGCCGCAAATAAACTATATCACAATACCCCCTCGAGTTCAACAAGTTATAAAAATACCAACGAATATAAAACATGGCGAGATAATAATCTCTCATCAGAAAATACAGAATTGTGAAATACCAGAATGCCTTACTACAGCAAAAAACGGTTTCGCATTAACCACTATTCTCAATAATACGACTCAACCAGTAACATTAGACTTCTCGATCCCATTTACCGTGGAAAAATTCCAGCGAAATGAAATCAGAGAAATAAATTTAAATAATTTCAACGACTCCCCAGATACAGGAATAGATCTTTCAAAATTCCGTACTGATCACCTGAACCCTGAAGAAGAAAACGGACTTTTACAATTAATCACCGAATTCTCAGATATATTTTATCACGAGAACTCCCCATTAACATTTACTAATAAAATAAAACATCAAATTAAAACCAGCGATGAAATTCCCATATACACTAAATCATACCGATATCCTTTCATACATAAGAAAGAAGTAGAAACGCAAATCCAAAAAATGCTTGACCAAAACATAATTCGACCTAGTAGCTCTCCTTGGAGTTCACCAATTTGGGTGGTCCCCAAAAAATTGGACGCATCTGGGAAACAAAAATGGAGAGTCGTAGTCGACTACAGGTCATTAAACGCTAAGACGATTGACGATCGCTATCCTCTCCCCAACATTACAGACCTTTTAGACAAACTCGGTAAATGTCAATATTTTTCAACTCTTGACCTAGCGAGCGGATTTCATCAAATTGAAATGGCTCAAAATGACGTAGAAAAGACAGCTTTCAGTACAGAAAATGGACACTTTGAATATCTGCGGATGCCATTTGGCTTAAAGAATGCTCCTGCGACTTTTCAGAGGGTCATGGACAACATTTTAAGAGGCATTCATAATGAGCATTGCCTAGTCTACCTAGACGATATTATCGTGTACTCTGTATCATTACAAGA